GTGTGTCGTCAGGGTGTCGTCGGGCCTGACTTCGTTCTGACATCGTGCGTCGTCAGGTTGTCGTCGGGCCTGACTTCGTTCTGACATCGTGTGTGTCGTCAGGGTGTCGTCGGGCCTGACTTCGTTCTGACATCGTGTGTAGTCAGGGTGAGGTCAAGTGTCGTCAGATGTAGTCGTCAGATGTCTGGCCACATTGAGCGTTCACCAAAGGAAAAAGGAACTCCCTTGTTTCTTGATTGCCTCGGTTTCTGTAGGAAAGCTCTCTCTAGGCCATTGGTATTGCTGGTGTGGTGGAGGAAATCGTTTTTGGAGAGCAAACCGCATATAGCTTTTGGTTGAAGACTTGAAGAAGCTGCAGTGCCTGAAGTCACGGAACTGGGGACGCGTTTTGGCAAAGCCAAGAGTCCCATTTGTTCACGCCTGCTTTGAGCGAGTCATGGACGCTACCTCCGTGGTGGCGATGGGACGATGATGTGCTCACTACCTTGCTGTGAAAAAGAATTACCACGCTGACCCACACACCGCTTTGTTTTGTCGCTGTTGCGTTTAATTATGTGGGGTTGGCGGTGTGTCCGCTTTAGGTGGCGGTGTCACCGTTGTAGGAACTGACATGTTCAACAGGCGGCTGCCTCGCCCCTCTTTGGTCTACAAACAGGGATGGTTTTAGAAGAGCACTCACACAATGAAAAAACCCAGGATTTACAAAAAAAATCTTAAAACATAACAATTTACAACCTCAAAAAAAACAGGTTTTTGTAAAAAAGTAAAAAAGTTAAAAAACAAGCTCTTGTCAAACACCTGCGCTCTACTTAGCCTACTTATAAGTATGGTTATAAGTTGGTCTAAGTAGTAAGGTCATAAGTCAGTATAAGTAAGTTTGTAAGTAATTTATAAGTAACTGTTCTGGCCTAAGTAACACGCACCTTGTGGTATCTCATTTGGTAGCTTCTCAATCAGTGTCAGCCAAGCTTTGTTCCTGTGCAGGGAAAACAGCTGGAGGTCATATCAGTTTTTTCCGGCGTAGCCGGCCTCGAACTGGGGCTCCGACAGCCACGGTCTCAGCTTGACAGGAATAAATGTTGTCACGTAACTTGTGGTTTTGTGACAAGGTTTTGCAAAGCCTGCGTTTATGTGGCCAGCTGAGATTCTTTGCGTCGCTCTGCTGTCAGATGTTGAATTGAGTGGTCTAGTGAGTGTTTCATTCAGGTAGAGCGAGATGAATTTTGCCAGCAAGTCCTTCGCAAGCGAATGGCTGAAGGGTGGATTCCTCGCGCAGAGAGATCCACCCAGACATTGTTCAGTATAACCCTAGCTCTGCCGTGAAGGAACGCGCAAAGGGCATTGTGGGTGGATTCCCATGTCAAGTGCCTCGTTTTCTTTTATGGGGTTGGGCATGTAGGGTGGACTTTGTGTATGTCAATGCGTGCAGGGTGAAGCATGAAGAGTTTGCAAACTTGCTGGTGTTTGGATTGAGGATGTATGCCAAGCAGGCAACATGAAAGGCATGGAAGGCGTCAGGAGTTCTTTGGTGAAGCACATCTTTAGGCTGTGTGACCAGTGTGATTCTCTGTATTTTGGCAGAGGATATGTGTGATGTTGGATTCAAACAGTGGCCGTCCAAACCAAAAAACAATTTGTACTTATAGGCAATTTGCAATCTTGGAGAACGTGCTCAACCTGCTGACTGAGCGGATGTCGGGCATCCGTGATTTTGTGCTCGAGGCGCTTGACAAGTCTTGCACAGTTGGGGTCCAACCCTTGCCTGTCTCCCTTTGTCAAATTAAACTGTCATTCTGACTGATGCTGTGAAGGAATTTGCGAAGAGGAAGATGAAGGTTCACTGGGCGGCGGTCTCTGGACAAAATGTCGGCATCAACGCAGGGATCTTAATTATGGTTTTGTACTTGATCCGAATACATGGACTCACCCTTTGCTTCTGGTGTCTATCGCGCGTTGTGACCCCAGGTCTACCGTGGTCGAGTATTCCTGGTGGCGACCAAGGGAGATTTTCACTTTAAGGAGTGATGTTGTCGTTCTTGATTGAATGCCATGATAGCACACTTCTTTCAGACTTGTTGACCGGTCGTGTTGTTTGACTCTGACTAAACTGAAGGTTTGAATCTGAAATTAAAGATTATTGCAACAAGCTTGGATCATGTCATGGAAGGACGCATCCTTGAAGATGGCTGCTGCTTGGGATCAGCAGTGTCAGAAGGCTTGGAACCCATCGCAACGCCCTGCCCTCACAGAGTGGCTGACCACCGAGTCCAGTGAGCAGGATGAATCCCGTCTTCATGCACTGGGCAACATAGTGTTCCCAAGATGTGCTGAGCTGGCAGTGTCCTTGATCGAAGAGAAGCTTCGACGGGGCTAGGTGTTTTCGCCGCTGCAAGGTGTAACTTGATCTGCTACTATGTGTTTCTATGCTCGGGAGCAAGTGTTCCTTGAAGCTTCGACGCCGTTAATTCCCTGGGGGCAGGAGTTTTCGCCGCTGCAAGGTGTAATTTGATTTTGCTATGTGTTCCTACACCAATTGATAGCAAGTGTTGCTTGACACCGCTGCAAGGTGTAATTTGATTGTCTATGTGTTCCTATGCCAACCGAGAGCAAGTGTTGCTTGACACTTGAACAGGAGATTCAGTTTGTGCAAAAAAGGTAACCTCTCAGCTGCTCTACTAAGAGTTTTTCTCATTGTCATGTGTTGTTTGTACTGTCTGTAGTGACTAGCTGCAGCTTTTGTGGGGCAGAGTGGGGTCTTGGGGAGTGCCCACATCGCGGCGCACTTGGGTACAATGGGTCCGGGGCCCAGCTCACTCGTCCAGCCTGGATGGCAGGTCAAAATGAGTTGCAGTCAAGCTTCCACCTCGAGATTCAGAGACACAAGTCCATCATTGAGGTGATTCCGGTGAGCTGATTGTGGAGGACAAGCAGTCTCATGATGACACTCAAGACTTCAAGGCACCACTTGAAAACAAAGTGCAATGTAATTGCAACAGGTTGTTATGTTTAATGGTTGGTGTGATTTGGTGCGCGAACTAAAACAATGCAGAATTATTATTGCACTTTAAAGTTTCTGCGCGACTGTGCGCAGGCCCTTCAGACTGACGAAGTTCACCAAAACGGAGTGAAGGCGAGATGGTTAGTCAAACGGACAGAGGTCTTATGGACTCAGTTCATTTCTGGTAAAGTCGCCCAAGGATGAGGATAATATCAAGTCAGTAGCGGCTGATCACAGTAAAGGCCTTGCCCTTAGTTCAAAGGATCCCTAAGACCTAAGAGCTTGTCTGCACTATGTTCCAAACGAGGCCAGAGAACGCAGCGCAGCCGCTCCCGATCACGTCGAGCTCAGACTGAGACTTCGGGAGCTTTTGTCAAGATGCTTCGCCGCCCAACTTGATTCTGGGTGATTCTGACTTCTCAGATTCTTCGGACCGAACTTAGATGTGAGCAAGGTTCTGGGGTGTTCAGGCCTTTGCCTTTTGAACAGACAGAGCGTATGGCACATTGATGATTGCAGCAAAATACACAGGCAGTGCTTCATTATTATGCGTGTGTTTGCAGTGCTTTTTGTTTGCTGTGTGAACCTTGTGTCGGAAGCAATGATGGTTCCTGTTAGTTCCATACTGACCAACTTATTTTTATACAATCACACATCATGGCTACAGCGCTTATGCAAGATTGCGAGCACCGGAACATAATGATAAGCGTTGGTTGTGACCACAGCTAAGTTTTCATATACAGTCCTTCAACTCTTGTGACTCTTGTGTCCACCGTGCCATGCTCTCAAATGTCACCACCCTCTCAGACGATGAGCCTTCCCACGAGATTGTTCCAGCTAGTGCGCCAGCATGCGCGCTGAATCTAGAAGATGCTGTTTGCAGGGAACGACCTTGCCGGAAGCGCAAGCTTTCTCCTGAGGAGCTTAGGTTGGCAGAGCGTGACATCAAAAAAAATGTTCAAACAGTTGTTTTCTCGACATGCAGATGCTCCAGAAAAGGTCGGAAGGCTACTAAGACCAACTGCTTTCAACCGTTCCGCGAATCAGACAAGTTGGAGCAAATTTGCAAGCTACGGTCAACATTGCGCAGCATGCACAAAGCAGATGCAGACCAAACAGCAAATTAGCTCAAATAGCCAGGGTTCAGGGTTAGTAGGGCATTATGTTTCCCCAGGGTTCAGAGTATGTTTGTTGATTTGAAGCCTCAGTGAAATGGCTGATGGCTCCCGCTGTCAGGTGTACAACCTCTTGGCAAGTCGCCACGCGCTGAGCGAAGCGAGTGGTGCCGAACCTTGTCAGCCTGTGAGAAGACAGCGCAAGCTTCAATTTCTGGGGCATGGTGTGTGCGTTTCTGGTCTCAGCAGAATCCTTGGCATCGGTACTCACAGAGCCTCCAAGATGAGACAGTCAATCAATGCTAAGCAAGAATGCCCTGGAGACGGGCGGTTTGCTAAAGCCAAGTGTTATGGTGATGGGAGGCAAACCCACAAGCGAGAGGTCATTCATGACTTTTTGACCTACTTGTACACACAGGTCTCCGAGGCTATGCCTGAGGTGGCGTCAGATCGCCTCGGCGGCAGAAGGGAAGAGCTGAAGCTTCTTCGTTTCTCGAAACTGAGGGGTAAGCGGCCCCGGGTTGCTACCAAGCGTGACAGGCCACTGGTTGGGGAGCAATCCAAGGCTGTCAGGCTGCTACCGCCTGGCAATTACACAGACTACCTCAAGGTCCTGTGGTCGCGAGAGCCAGATGTCAAGATAAACTTGAGACTATTCACGAAGGCCCCTTGCTGCTGAGCAAAGAAAACATTGGTTGGACATAGTTTCCAAAGTCACTAGGACTTCCTGATGTCACCCCAATTTGATAGGATATAAATCTGAAAGGACCCTGTTCGGCTTTAGGTTTATAAATCAAATATGATATAATGAAATCGAACTATATATATATATATTTTTTACATGTCCTGTTGTTGGTAAGATCCCGGACTCCCATGAAATTGATTTGATCACAAAGATATGTTTGGAAATTGATCGCATAATGAGGCAACACCCATCCGTTTTCATCCACCTGTTTGGGATCATCTCTAGGATCTGAGGTTTGGGAGTCCAACTTTGGCTCAATCCTGAAGATACGCCCGGCTTCGCAACACAAACAATGCTCAGAGTGCACGAAACACAAGTTCATTATGAAAAAGGTGGCACACAATCGGAATGCTGTAAAGGCACAAGCAGCTTTGTGGAACGTTCACTTGGCTCGTCAGTATTCAGACCGCGTCGGCTATTGGACTATGCGAGCATCGAGCCGATTGGGAGTCGATGTGGCAGGCCAAAAGACCATAACCTTGATAATAGACTCAATGGACCGTTCCAAATAATGCATTCCAAGGTCTGCAGTCCTGCAGGCAAAGGATCTGGCAGGCCTGCAGAGGCCGAATCTGGATGTGACCACAATCATAGTCCACGGCCATTTGGTCGGAGTTTACTTCGCTGAGCAAAGCATTGTGAAGGGATCGTCTTGGACGGTAGAACTTTTGGCCCACGTTTGCCACCTGTTGACTTTGAAAGGCCTGGATCTCAGGCAGTACGAATGCAGCGTACACGGTGACAACTGCAGCAAAGAAGTGAAGTCGAACTCGATGGCACGATACCTGGGACTCATGGTGGCCCGTGGGCGCCTTCGAAAGGCTCACGTTCAAACATTACAGACAGGCCATTCACATGAAGATATCGATCAATTCTTCAGCTTGATGGGAGCGTACCTCCAAACTCAGCGTGAGTTGCATTGCCCCAGTGAGTTTGAGGATTCCATTGCCAGGTTTCTTTCAAACCGCTCTGTACGGCCATTAGAGCCGCTGCGTGTTGTCGAGAGGGTCAGTCAGAACCGTGATTGGAAACCAGGCGCCCGTGATGAAGATTTTTCTATGGAGAGTGCAAGCAACTGTTTACCTGATAGCCCGTGTGCAAACATTCTCCCTTAACTGCAAACAATGATTAGGAAGTAGGTGCGGCCCACACCTTCAGGCCTTGCAGATGGTGAGGTCTTATTGCCCGTCTTCAGGCTTCTGATGGCGCAAGAACCATTAAATCAGTTGGTCTTGACATCTACCACTCATGCCGGGGTTTCCTTTTTTGATACTACGCCGGAAGTCCGACAGCAACTTAGACGGATGACTAAAAAACTATGACTATGACCGAAAAGCTCTCAGCATCCAGGAAATCATGGTTGCAAGTTGGGATGCGCGGAGCATTCCTCAAGGGCACGGGGGGGGCCTGGTGCCCCCCATGTGTTTTCCTTTCAGCGCGCCAGTGATCTTTGCAATGAAGGCCGTTTGTTGTGTTTATGATTCAAGTTTACTGGTTGGCTGACCTATCCTCAATAAGAATTCAATCCATTCTTTTGGGTTCGGGCCCGAACACTCATAGAACAATCGGTGACCTCACCACGTTAACTCTTATCCTAAACGCAAGCGGCGCAGGCCACAACCTTGATGTTGTGGACAGCCAATTTTGGCGCAGGCGGCAGTTGGCTTCAGATCACCCAGACAATGTCATTTTGCGGAGACTTACTTACAAACACCATGTCAGGTGATTTAGCGTGGCCCCAAATGTTCCCAAATAATTGTCATTATTACGTACAAGCTCATTGGTCGTTTATTGTTTGGTTCATGTTTGATGCTGGTACTGTTGGAAGAAAATAGAAGAACTAAGGACCAAACAGTACATATCGGACCCTCACTACAAGGACCATTGGTTGCTGTACATGCCTGCTTGCGTGGCAGCTGCAATGGCGGCCTCGCAACCTGAAGGCACCTTGGTTCACCTACTACTACTACTACTACCACCACCACCACCACCACCACTACTACTAGTCACCTACTATTACCATTGGTTGCTACTACGACCACCTACTACTACCTACTACTACTACTACTACTACTACTACTACTACTACTACCTACTCTTACTATTATTGTTATTGTTTTTATTACCAATACTATCACTACTACTACTAGTCACTACGACGACGATGGCTACTACGACGACGGCTGCTCACATCTGCAGGTGCATTAGCACTTTACCAAAGGTTACAGGAATGTGCTCCACATTCCCTTCCGGCTGAACCCCATAGCTTCGCTGGCATGGCTAGGGAAACAGCTGCCATGCCCCCTGCTGAAGTAAACGAAAACAATTCAAAAGAATCCCTGTGACTACAAGGGGCACACACACACACACGCAGACGCGCGAATCGGAAAACACAGCTTGCAACTTCGACCTTCTGTCCTTCATTGGGGACTTGCTTTGAGTTGCTCTTCCGCGCCACGATGACAAGGGCAGCTACAGTTAAAGTGTGCGTGGAGTGTCCTTGTTCGCGGCAAGGAAAAACCATGTGCTGCAACGTTCTGAACACTTTCCACCTGTGGGCTAGACTCGACTTCGGCTAGACTGACCTGCACGTAGGGCGCGCAATACTGTCGCGTTGCAATGCTTTCGCCAGACAGATATGACTACGATTTACTTACAGCTGGTTTTTAACTTGCGTGACATGAAGCGTGCCTACTTGCATGACATGAGGCGTGCCAGTGGCTAATTCATCTTGTCCAAGCAGCCTGAAAAGTTTCAGGTGAGATTGTTGGGTTTGAAGTTGACAGTTGCATGGATTCTGGGTGATTTGCAAAAATGCGCACATCACGCACGTTCTCAGAGTTTCAAGCAACAACAGAGTTCAGACTTTTTGACACTGCCAGTTCTTTTTTTCGCGACCCATTGCCAATTGCTATTTGGTTTCCAGGCCATTCCGTTTCAAGGACGAGGAGAAAGCAATGAGTATCCATGCCCCCGAGGATACATGTGCACTGTTTGTTTTGCTAAGTGAACTGTTTGTGCAACTAACAATCGGGAGGTAGTACAGTAACTCTTGACACTGCAGCTGGTACGTTCGAGTTCGCCGTCTAATGCCACATGCGCGCTAGAGGAGGTTTTTGCTCAGAAAAGTCGGCGGGCAAGTGGTCGAGACCTAAGATTGCAGCCATTGCAGCTGGGCATCACGTTATGCCCTAGCCACAGTCACGTCGGATTGCTGGTCATCAAGATTTGTCACAAAAGGCAGCCTGGTAAGGGATACCTTGAGCTTGCTTTGCGAAGCACAGGGGTAGCTTCAACAGCCTGCTTGGGACCAAAGATTGATATACCAATTCTATGTCCCCCCTCCCCCCTTTCAATGCTCTTACAATGAGGTTGCGCAATGCGACTCCTACGCAATGCATGCGCGTGCCGCTCTGGGACGACGGTTCAAACACATGCCACGCTTACAGGTCGCAACTTCTACGCAAACCAGCGTTCACACACCATATTGCTTTAAACAAATGAGTGTTGACGCAACACAGCCTCTACGTAAAGCCGTGTTGACAAACCTCACCACACCACATGCTGTAGCAACCTCTCCTCACGACCCAGGCAACTCTTAATGCGTAGCGTGCATGTGATATTCGACCGCATTTGCGCAGCACTGTTTTGGCGCCAGACAACTCTTACATACCGTGTTGACAAAACTCCATGCGCGCCACACTACACCACATGTGCATGCGACACTTGACCGCATTTGCGCAGCACTGTTTTGGTGCCAGCCAGTTTTGGCGCAGGCAGTTTTTGCAAACCACAGCTGTTACACGGCCCTGTTGCATTTAGATGCTGCGGCATTCATATATTGCTGGTGATTCTCTGCCTTCGTGTTTCCCTGCCTCGAGTCTTTGCAGGTCCTTTGCCAACCTTAGACCGGGACCCAACCTTGGCCACTTGGTCCGCATGACAGGCGATTTGCAAAACGCGCCAAAATTATAGTAATCCTTCGAGGCCCCTGCCAGAAAAGCATTTTCGTAGTTTGGTAGCTTTATAATTCTTGAAGACACGTGATCCCTTAAGGGATGGCAAAGGCCTAGATAGGTGTGAGGCAAAAAGGGCAGTGAAATTTTGCCCTTCAGTGAATTTGAATGATTCCGTAGAAGAGAACGCCAGTGTTTAATGATACCTTAAGTGCCCATCAGGGTTTGTCAAGAAATGGACTCAACGCACCAAGCAAGGCGATCCCATGAATTGGGTTGTTGACCAAACTAGTGCAAAAGTAGTTTTACACAGTAAGATAGCGTGTGAGGAATCGAGATATATACAGTGTATGTACAATATAGTTTGATCCCAATTTTGTGTTCAAGCTACATTATGGTACAGATGCAGGGGGTTGTTTGCGTTGCTTCAACAGTCCAACGCCAATGGAAAAAGGCTTTTGCGGCCCTCTGATATCAAGGGAACGTCCAGTGACGTACTTGCTGTGTTTGCGACTTTCCGTAGAAAACATGTTGAGTAGAGTTCCAAAAGAACATTCCAATGCAATGCAATGCGGTGTTGCGCAATGGAGGTCTTATACATTGTATATATTGAAAGGATGTTTAGGGTGCAAAACTTTCGTGTTACGGCCTTTCAACAGCTTTAGCTCTAGTTAGCTCTAGTTTCAGTCAGCTCTAGCTTTAGTTAGCTCTAACTCCAGTCAGCTCTAGCTTTAGTTGGCTGTAGATTCACTCAGCTCTCTAGCTCTAGTTAGCTCCAGTTTCAGTCAGCTCTAGCTTTAGTTGGCTCTAATTCCAGTCAGCTCTAGCCTTAGTTAGCTGTAGTTTCAGTCAGCTCTCTAGCTCCACTTTAGCTCCAGTCAGCTCTAGCCTTAGATAGCTCTGACTCCAATCAGCTCTAACTCCAGTCAGCTCTAGCTTTAGTTGGCTCTAGCTCTGGCTTTGCAGGTGTTCAACATGCATTTTGGAAGGAAGTCTCGTACAAAGTGCGCGTTTGAGAGATAGCGGAAGCACGAAATGTTGTGTTTTTCAATAAAGGATGGCTCCGAACCTTGCAAGTCAAGCTCTGCGGAACGACGGTTTCCGGACGGTCTCGCGTCGTGTTCGGATCATGCTCGAATCGTCCCTCCATTGTAACTAGAGTTTTCACATGTTTCTTGCGCGCGTGCTGTTGGTGGAATCTTGGCGGCCCGTAGTGGTTAATAATTATTTAGCCTTGTTAAACCACTTATTAAGCAGTTATTTTCTAGTTAGCTTGTAGTTACTAAGTCACATATGTGCTACTTACCGCAACACATAGCAAGTACACATAGCCTACATAGCAAGTGCACTTAGAGCGCTTCAGATATGGCATCCGTGAAAGCGTGTGAGTTAGTCTTTGCCTGCTTGACAGGCACCATGGAATCCTTGAACATCAACGCTGCCACTTTTGCAACGCTGCGCTTGCAAGATTGCCCAAATTGAATGTCAATGCTGGCACGCTTGCAGGGCTGCGCTCGCCAGCAGGAAGTCCTTGTTGAACAGCGAAAGTGTTCTTCTGGTGGGTTTCTTGAATGCAAATCTGTCAATGCTGGCACGCTTGCAGGGCTGCGCTCGCAAGCAGGAAGTCCTTGTTGGACAGCAAAAGTGTTCTTCTGGCGGGCTTCTTGAGTGCAAACTGTCAATTAGTGCTGGGACGCTTGCAGGGCCGCGCGCGCAAGCAGGAAGTCCTTGTTGAACAGCAAAAGTGTTTTTCTGGCAGGCTTCTTGAGTGCAAACTGTCAATGTTGGCATGCTTGCGGGGCCGCGCTCGCAAGGGCTCTTTGTCGATGTCACTGTTGGAAGTTTGCAGCGCGCGCAGTGAATGTCTATAATGTTGGCGCCTGATTAGTAAACGGCCCCCCCCCCCTCAAACAAACAGGAGGTCCTTTTTTTATGAACTATCACCAAAACAAATCTGGATTCCTGGTGAGGGATCTTTTGTAGTTGACTGTAGTATTCATTTTCCTTTCATAGATTGTATTCAGCGTCCTTTCTCAGGTTCTTTGTAATTGTTCTCAGCAATCCTTTTGCTTTGCAGCCTCAGATCTTCAGCTCAAGAGAAGCCCCAAGCTTTCAGCTTCCTCAGCTTCCATGGCTTCCTAAGTAA